GATTTTCTTTCAAGGATGCAAACTGCCCATTCTTGCGGTGCATTCTAGCAGGACAACAAAGAAGAGAGTGAGACATTGTCAGTACCAAAAAACTAAAAATGATATTACCAAACTTAAGGGTGTCTGGAAAGAGGTTTAATTATGTAGATTCACATTGTGACTCATTATTTCCACCCCTACCATTAAAGTACATTTCTTTCTGTGATAAGCATCTCCAACACCAACTGCTTCCTTGTTCCAATAACCACCAAATCATAGATGAGCACTTATAGGAGAGTATTTAAAGAAAATTTCCAACAATAATTGCTGCACATTCAGCTGTCTCCATCCACTAAACTAAAAAAGGTTTTCACTCTCGGTAGCTCTCACCCAACCAGATATGTAAAAAGGAAATAAACAAATAAAATCATCTTATTTTATTACAAAGAGAACTTGCTAGTCCTGGCAATCTAGTTTATTATTTTCCATGAACATACGCACTTAACATAATCAGACAGCAGAAGAAACATTTTTAAAAAGGCCAAATTTAAAGTTAAAAGGTTTAATTAGAAGTACCTCTGTGCAACCTCTTTTCGCACAGTGTATCTTATTTTCTTGTCAAAACATCTCTCCTTTCTTTTTTCACGGAACCTAACAAGAGAGGCTATTCTTCGTGAAAGATTTGAGCGCTTTGGGGTGTCACCCACTCCCTAGAGAATATAACAAAGGATGCGTAAAATGTAAGCTCAGGAAGCAATGGCGTTGCTCTTGATAACCCAAAAACACAGCATTACCCTATTATTTTGATCATATTGCACTTCAATAGCAGGTACCGCAGTAGGTATATCTCGTCCTCCCAGAAGCAAGAGCACTGCTTGCACCTGACAGTCAAAAGCAATATTATCATTCATTTAAAGTAAGCAAACCCGAGACAGAGAACTATAGGAAGACTCGGGAAAACTAATGGAATGATGAAAAGAACAAAACAAATAATTGCATTAATTGTAAGCGTCCAAGTAATTAGGCTAATAAATGCATAGCAAGCAAATATGCATCCAATGTGATTGAAGAAGATGCAATCGATTTCTTCTGCAGTTCCCAAAAAAGCACGGAAACAAATATACATAGTTCTTGTAGAAGATTTCCTGAAAACCGAAAGCATCTCCATTCACGTATTAATGCTCACAAATTTGGTACGACTAAGAAAGCATCAAGAGTACGATTACTACTTTCCAACATATATGAAGTAAAAAAAGAAAAAAAATCCGTAGCACCAAAATAACAGCCTTCGGCCCTTCACACAAAATTCAAAGGTAAAAATTAAATGAATGTATAGTAAAATTCCGTACAATAAATTAACAAATACGTGCATAAGCATCGCATTCATACAGAATTCAAAAGTAAAACAGCCCTTACACTAAATTCAAAAGTAGAAAATAAACGAATATAAAGTACCAATCCGTACAATAAATTAACAAATGCGTCACAAGCATCATATTCATACAAAATTCCAAAATATTAGAGTTAAAATTGTGGATAACAGAAAAAATGAGAGACCTTTTCAGGGGTGACAGCAGGGAAAACGTAAACTTCTCCTTCAAAAGAGAGAGTGAGTTCACTAGTCCTCGAAGCTATAACCACACCACCACCAGCACCGTGGTTGTGCTCTGCCACACTCACGCCTGAATTCACTTGCGCTACTGCTGCTTCCTCTTCCATGTCATCCATACCATCACCGTCTTCGTACTCTCCGTCGTCATCGTCCTCGATCTGTACTGGAGCTCGCGTTCGGTGGTCCTTGTACGGACGCGCCTGTAGGGGCTGTGGATTCGCCGCCGCCATATGAAACCCTAACCGTCACCACCGACCGTCGTGGAAAGTGGAAACCCTAAGTTAGATCACTCACCAACTACCACCGCAGCTGTTTCATCGAAGAGGACATATATTTTCTTTTAACTTAAATAAATAATGATAAGTTATCTAAATAACTGGAATCGGTGAGCTGCGAGTTATAATTTAACTTAGAGGTTAGAAGAGGAGAAGGAGAAGAAGCTTCGAAAATGGAAGATAGAGAGACCTTAAAAATAGCTAAGATTTGCAGGGTCTGTACCCTGTAGGGGCTCAATTTGGAAATTTCTTTTCTTTTTCCCCTTTTTCTCTAGTTTTCTTTCTTGCAATTTGCCCCCTTTTTTTTCTATTTTTCGGATTGAAAGCGAAGAATTTGTCGGCTTGTCGAGAAGGATTTCTATTTGTATTTTAATCAAGGAGTATTATTCTGGGATTTCGCGGGAGCATGATGTTAGGATGTGGGGTAATTTTGGGTCCTTGATGCTTGTTTTCTGGTGGGATCCATAGAGAAGACGGCTCGCATGGATGGATGATGGGTGATTGGATGGGCTGATGTGTTTTCGGATGATGATCCAACGGCTGGTACTAATAGACGATGGCGTGCGGTGGAGACAATCACTAACTATGGTGTTGGAGATTCCAAAGTGGGCAGGGTATCTTAGTAAATTACTATGATGGGATAATGTGATAAATGCACATAGCTTGCATTTATTTTGGACAAGCAGCGTCTCACAAATTACATTGCAGTTACAAAAGAAACTGAATGGTCCGCATATTCCACTGTTATAGCATCCACAGGGGACTAGAATAGTTCTCTTGCATCGAGGTTGTTATGCCTTGCAAATATTTGGGTGGTTTCTGGTTTTAACAAGGGGTTGTGTTTAGCCGTGGGTTCAGGGGATGTCCTTAACTTCTCATTCAATCTCCTTTACACGTTGCTCATCGCCGAATTTATTTATATTTTATAGTGGAGGGCTGGGTGCTGGGTGCTTGGTGCTGCGCTGGCATTGAAATCCAGCATGATTGAGGCGTCGCCCTTGCTTGGAATTTCAGCGATCCTTACCCGTGTATACGCGCCTTACTTCTACGCTACCATTGATTTCGGTATCGGGAGACGCTGTGCGTTCGATCAGGGCAGAGTGGAGTGAAGTGGAGCGTGGTGTGTGGAGTAGGTTCAAAAGGTTTTTTTGAAAAAAAATTTAACTTTTTTTTATAATTTTAATTTATTTTAATATATTTTAAAAAATTAATAACAATTTAAATACAATTTCAAACACTCTTTTTAACTATCAATATCTCTTTTTGTTTTGGTGTAGATAATGTAGTTATAATTATTTTTAAAAATATTAAAAATATATATTTTTATTATCATAATATCAAAATAACAGTAAAATATAAAAAAATGAGAAAAAAAACTCAAAATTTTTTAAAACAACGGTTACACGACGTAAACTAACACACCCCCTCAAATTTTTTTAAAACGACGGTTACACGACGTAAACTAACACACCCCTCATGTACTGTACTGCACATAGGCGCGTAATGGTTTTTAGGTTGCTGATGATTTCACGTTTGTTTTTGGATTTGGACAAGTGTTTTCTTAAGTGGTAACCGTCTCTCCTCTTGGGTTCCGTTGTAATTCAGTTGCCATCCAAAAGTTAAGGTGCCCTGCTCCTGCTCTTTTTAGATTGGCTAACTCCTTTTTTAATGTTCTTATGCCAAGGTGATCCACTGTTGCTTTTTGTCCCATTATTTCGGGACATGAGCTTACCATGCATGTGTAAACTCTCTATTGGGTAAGATGTGTCCTTCATCTCGCTTAACCTTTCTCTTCTTTTGCTCTCATTTGTGTCTTTTAGGTGCTTTAGGAGGGGGTTTATAAGCTCTCTATATTTTCTCGTGTGCCATTTGTGGACGTTGCCATTGCTCTGCTTTGTGGGTTTAGAGGTCGGTTTTTGCTTCTCCCTATCATTATACTTGTGCGTTTTTCTGTTTTGTGGTCTTTTTTTGTATCCCTTGCTCTGGCTTTTTTTACTTCTGGTGCATTTACGCTGCTGTCGCTTTTGACTGTGCTTCCTTTTGTTTGTTTCTTTGAAATTTTATTGCCTGTGTTGCCTTCTGTTGCCTTGTGATTTGGGCTGCCAGAAACAACAGGGAGAACAGGGGTAGGACTCCTTTTCTTTTCGTTTAGGTTTTGTGAGGCCTTTGTTTTGTTAGCTATGGGTGTTAACCAATAATGTTATCCACATGAGATGTCTGACAGTTTACTCCTTGACTTTCATATGCTCTTGCATCCTTCCTTTGCTCATCGCCTGCTGTGGCTTCCACATTTGCGTGGCCTATATGTCTATCATCCGCGTTAGACTCTTGATCTAAGCAAGCATGGAATATGTGCATTGCTTGGGATTGAGTTTATGTGTCCAACATTCTTGGACATGCTGACTGTATAAATAATTATGTCTGACATGGTCTTTTCAGAATAATTCAAGATGGATTTGGTTCGGTAACATTTTGTGGATTTTGATGATGATGATGATTGTTATTGATTGATTTCTGAATTGTGAGTTTTCGTCTATGTTTGTTTCATTAGTTATTAAGATCTTGAATGAGCAAGCAAACTGAGTAGTTGATGAATAGCTGGCAAAGTTCAGAGAAGGGATCGTATTTGATAAAATTGGGGATTTGTTTCGTTGAATATGAAACTAAATTGTTCCATAAATCTTCTCTGTTAGGTTTTTTGTCGTAGAGAAATCAAGTCCCACCGAGTGGCAGTTTCTGTAAATACATCAACATTTGTATTCAATGGAAACTGGAATCTAACTTCACAGACAACATGTTGCCAACCAATCTTTTCCCCGAGGTCAAAAGCAGTACAAAAAAAGATGACCAAAGGGGAAGCAACGACCATCAGCTCATTTCAGGCCAAAATTCTCCACGGGCTCTATAGATAAGTTTAGGCAGTTATATAAGCATGCGAGGTTGACATGGAAAGTAAATTCAGGCTTGAAAACAATTTGGAGCATCCGTAATCTGGGCAAACTTATTGGTGAGACTGATTAAACTTCATTGATCACAATCCCCGCTTATTCTTTCCTTATTTCCAGAAAATGGTGAAGCCCAGACTGCATGTGATTCAGTGGAGTTATTGGCATATTAATCAAAGCATTTGGAGCTATATGAAACTACCAACATAGATCATTGAAACTTTTATGTTATACATCAAAGCAGAATCCTCCAGAGGTAAATCTCATACACTGCTTAAGGTAAGGACAAGATAACTTCATGTATTGATGATAGCACTATAATATCTGTACATTCCACAGGACAAGCAGGAATTAATTGCTATAAAACCTTCAACATGAATTGACGCGATTACAGTAGCCATTCTTGAAATACAACTCAGAAACTCGGTCAATGATCTGTTATTAAGGCCGTATCACCACCATTGGCGTAAGTAACAGGATTGTCATGTGTATCGATAGCAGGGACAGAGTCCGATTCGTTGGCTTCTGTTTCACCCTAAATAAAAAAGCACGCACAGCATTTACATGGCATGGTAGATTAGCAAATTGCTTATAGGTGGGGGGAAAACACTCAGAATTGATGTTATGTGCTGTACCAAAGAACTACAATTTTATGCAGATAAGGAATATACCAGATCAATTGGAGCCACAGAATGTTCCAGGGCTTTCTTGGAGTGATCTCTCAAAGTTCCCTGCAGAATTTTATTAATCAAATACGGAATCCAATGTCTATTTTTTAAATAAGGCGGGCTGTTTATTTTGGATGGCATGAAATGAATTTAGCCAAAATTGGACTTTGGAGAGGTGAACATTATTAGAAGATAACATTACAACCGAGATATCTTTCCAATAAATTGTAGCATGCAGATAGAATTTAAAGCAAAGCAAACAAGAACAGCCTTTTTCAGCACCAAAAGCAGCAGTTATCAGATGGTTAAAGACAATACAGCACAAACGCAAAATATCATTAAATCAGGAGTCCAATTCCAAAATAACGTATATCCACACAAGGATGCTGATGGGCCACCTAGAAACATTATATGGTATCACTGATGATCTCATCCAGTTGTCCACTTCCATAGTCCACTCTATTCTCACCATCCTACCAAAATGTGCGTCTAAACTCCAAAATACCAATACAAATACAGCAAACATTATTTCCAGAATTAATCTTGGCCCTAGACCCTCTTAGTCTTACATGGATGTCTCACTAACCTAGCTTCATGAATATCAAAAACTTTCCCACAAAAAAGTAAATGAAAATAGAAGAGGGAGAGATCTCAACTAATATGCAAGGTTCCAAGATATGATCCAGCATCACCATAGGATGCCCTTATCCTTTTTCAATAAGCTGTAAGCTATAGCTACACCACCTCCATTATCTAGTACCATGCTTCTTCACTGCAAGGGCTCAAAAGTTCTTGAGAAGTCAAAATCAAACTCGGTAAAACTAATTCTTTTTTCAGGTCCCTAAAGATAACAGCAATCCATTTATTTTCCATAAGCAAAATCATGAACCCCCCTCCCCTAAAAAAAAAAGAAAAACATTCACCAATTCATAAAATGACCACTACCATGAATTAACAGAAACCAGCTAATGCACATCACCAATTCATAAAATGACGAATACCATGAATTAACAGAAACCAGCTGGTGACCCAGAAGGTCTAGACAAAATCCATTCTCAAGAGTTGATATTACTAATAATTGAATACGTTCTACCCTCCACCTTGCAAATACATTAAAGCATGGCCTTTAACACACTGCTTATTTTAGAGCCTGATATCAGAGGGCTTCTTTGTTCACTGGATCTTGACTAATGAGCTTGCCAGGCAGTCGCCAAACCATCATCAAGCTAGCATTTGGAAGCTCAATTAAGCTTGATCTCATAAAGTTTTATTTGCTCAACAATGTCATGCTCAGAGCCTTGGGCAGCCAAAGCTTGCAACCACTGGGCTCCTTTGCATCCTTAGCCCTGCCTGCTACATGATCTAATTTTACTTGGTGAATTGTAACATCTAGTTTTTCCTCACAAGTTATTAAATTATTTTGTGATTTTTTTTCTTTTTCAAATTCTTCCTCCACTCAATCCATTAGCATCTCTAAGTCTGTTTCTTTTTTCAAGGTCAGCTCTCTCATCATAAAAATGTGAAAATGAAGACTTGGACTCGGCTACCGGCTGCCAATAGGATAGCAGCAGAGCTACTGTCATCCTCTTCACCCAATTTACAAAGTTAAAACTATTATTATCTTGACCTTGTTATCAATTCATCATTCATCAAACTGAACACCTTAACATGAATTCTGCATCATATGAAACCAAACATATATGCAAAAATAAAAAGTTCGATGACTTGTAGCGATGACGATGTGGCATGGCATATCTAAACTTCCGAACCATAATCAACAGCAACAGGCTACATTTGAAAGGTAGGGCAGAAACAAGCAAATACAATATCCATCAAACAATCACATGCAAATGTGCAAACAGTATGTATGGAACTGAAAGCAAGTGTACTGACTCCCTAACAAATGACATATATAACAATAGATACAGGATAATCATTATTTTTTTCTAAAGACCTAGACCTTAACTCAGCACCGAGAATGTGAAAATGCACTTTTCACAACAGTGATCACAATTTAAAAAGGGACAAGTGATAAAAGCAACATGGTATCCGTGTTTTATGAAGTTCAATAGATACTCACTCTGTTTGCCCAAAAAAGCCCACAGGCATTGCAAAGAGACCTTGGACCAGATGGACCCCGCCGCATCATTGGAGTGGATTTTGAATTAGTGCCACAGTGTGTGCACCTAGACAAGGGCACAAATGATACAAATATTCAAACGAGTTAACAATAAAACTCCTTTTGGGATATATTTCATTAATTAAGAAATATAGCAACTTACGAGGTTTCATGTTGGCTATCATCTTGTGCTGAATCCTGACCAGCATCCCAGCCATATCCTCCCTCAGACTTCTTGGCAGAGGTAAATTGACCCTTATTGCGCTGCATCCTGATGTAGTGATACATATACAATTAAAAAGATTTTCTTTTTGCAAGCTAGTCTACATAAATGCATACTACTATCAAACATCATAAAAGTAAACCTCTAAGAGCAGATGTATATAATATGATGATGTTGTGGTTCTGCAACGGCTATTGCAACTTTTCCTCTCAAGTTTTTTGTTTCCTGGTGACAATTCAGGTTTCCTGAATAATTACTCCCATAAAAGCAACAGCATACCTAACTTCCATGATTTTCTTATTCAGATAGTGCAATGAATGTGGATGGTACTGTCCTCTTATAAGATATTTCTCGGCAACTAATTATCATCGATAGGTTATCAACAAGTAATAGAAGAACTGGGAAGGCTACTGCATGTGCATAAAAAAGTATTTTCATTTCAATTTGTTTTTCTAGAATACAACTAAGGTTACTTGGCTAAGTTTTTAATACTTTTCCAAGATCCCTAGTGTATGATTTCATCACTTCTAGAACACATCTTAAATAAGTTTCTCAGATGTGGTAATTGAGCACAGAATCATAGTTTCAACAGTGTAAACATGTAAAAGGAACATGAATTTTTATGATGAATAACCAAAACATGATTTATGCGTGCATATATCCCTCCATAAAGGAAAAGGGGAGGAAATCCTTGATGCACGGTTAAGAGCTCCTTTTTTTAATTTATTCTGAAATTGCAGAAACAAATCATTTTCAGTCTCCTCTTTACTAAAGTATGAATGCTCCGAGAACATCATATGAAGTACAGTTTCTCGGAAAGTTTTAGACCACTGAGCTCATTAGTCTCCCTAGTTTCAACAACTTGCCACAATATGTTTCTACCAGACCAATGACTATAAATGCATATGTCCACCATTTGGATCTTTGCCAAGTATTAGTTAACTTTATACCTACTATGAATTACCTGAACCTTCCCCTGTTCGAAATTATTTATATGTTAAAAACCAGTAGATGTGAATTGCTAATGCAATGGAATAAATATGATGGTTACCAAAGTAGGAAACATAAGTAACGCAACAATAGTATGCTCTACTCTATTTGTTAAAAAACACAAATTCTCCATCTGTCACTCCTCTGAGAAAAGTTATGCGTGGTATAAGAATATAAAAATGCTTGCAGCACCTGAAACAAGTTTTTATTTTTTTGAATTTGATTCAAAATGAGAATCAACAAAACAAAAACAACTTGACACTTTGTTAGAACCAGTATTCCTAGCAACTCATGCAGTGATGTAATCATAAATCCAGAACATACATAAATAACCAAACCTGAGTGCAACCTCCTGACGGACACCATATCTAACTTTCTTATCAAAGCATCGCTCTTTTCTCTTCTGCCGGAACCTACTTAATGAAGCTGCTCGTTGAGGTTGAGTACACCGCGGTGGGTACTCCACCACACCCTATATTAAAACATAAAATGCAGAAAAATCAGATCAATTTATACCATATCAACATCTAATATCATCATGATTGAGAAAATACCCTTTGATTTTGAGTAGTCATTTCCAGACCAGGAGTTAATTCAGATCCTCCCAGTAATAACAATACAGCTTGAACCTGTAAAGATTACAAAATATACAGTGATGTTAACAAATTTCCCAAAAGCAAATAAGTCAAGCCCTAATTGTCCTTTTCTTTTCAATTGCAGAGGGATGACGTTGTTTTCGTCACCCTAAACCACAAGATTAAGCCTATTTCGGAGTCGTTTGAACAAAAAACAAAATCACAATTATGAAAACTCTCAAATCTTTTTCTTGAACAAAATATATAAATATATATATATATGTAAGAAAACCCTAAATTGCATAATTCAGGGACAGAAACAGTACCTTGTCAGGGGTAACGGAATCGAAAACATAAACTTGTCCACGAAACGTCAGGGTGAGCTGACTCGAACAATCACTAGGCTGAATCCCGAGTTCCGACGCAGCGACACCGGCGGCAACGTAGACGGAATCGGGAGAGACGTCTTCGACGACGACTGCAGGGGTGCCGTCTTCGTAGTGAATGTGATGGTGGTGATCGATGGGATCGGCTGGGGCACCGTCGTCGTCAACGCCAGTAGAGACGATCTGATTGTGAACGTTCATAGGCTGCGAAGGAGTGTACATTGGCGAATCTCGGGTGTAATTTGAAGCATTACAGAGAGGAGAAGAGAATTGGACAGGCAATTTACGAAACCCTAACCCCAAGTGAGCGAACCACTGAGTGAAAGAAAAGGAAGAAGAATTCAATCTTTACCGGAGAGAGAATGTGTTTAATAATAAGCTAGAGAGTTCGGGTTTTTGTTTAGGGAACTCTTAGCGCGTTCGGAAAGAGTTGATAGACAGAGAGAGAGAGGGAGGGAGGGAGAGACCGGAGAGTGGAGGGCGACGACAGACGGAACGGTGGGGTGAGTTAGGCAAGGAAAGGGGAAGCGCAACTCGATATAGGGAAAAGTGAAAAAACGGCTGAAATTGGGCGAAGGCCTTCTATGCCAAATGGGACTGAATGAAGTCTACAGTGAGAAACCCACCGCGTGCATTTATGAGTGTGTGATTTGAACTTGGATCATATTCTTTTCCTAACAAAAATAATTATAATTCAAAAAAAAAAAAACCTTAAAAAGAGGTAGCTCTCCTGTTACAGTTATAGCTTATTGTCTCACTATTTCATCATGGTGTTTTTTTAATTGTTCATTAGTTGGGGTGTCCGGCCAGCTTACGCGCACCACGACTAATCCCCATGGTCCACTGAACATCCTGCAAACCCAGCAGGCAGGTAAGGCAGTGCGGGGCTGACAGGCATGCAACTCCAAGGCTCGAACCCATGACAGCAGAAGGCGCAAGACGCTATTCCACTGCTAGGCCGGTGCCTAGGGTGCTCATGGTGTTTTTTTAATTGTTCATTAGTCGCGAAAAGTTCAATTTAGTTACTGAATTTGATTTCTTTGATCTTTATAGTTTTCAGTGTTGATGTTTTGATTCTAAGACTTTGTTATTTATTTTAAGAAAATTACTCTGGATATTCTATAATTATATTTTATCTTCATTGTTTCATGAATTATAGAAAATAACATTGGTCATCAAAAATAAAAATAACACCAAATGACCAACTAACACATGTATATTATATACACAAACCCAATAGATGACAAACGCGGCCTCTTTTTCTCTATCTCTTTAAGCTTACTGTTGACAAAAATTATAATATATATGGGAAAAATATTGTTACTTCGTTTATAAAATACTATGAATTATTATAATATTTTTATATATTAGCTTTTTATTTTATTGTTTAAACACATGATTTACATTTTTTTATTATTATTATTTTTTAAAAAAATATTAATATTGAAATGGTTGAAAATTTAACACTATAATTTTATTTTTTTATTTTATCTTTCTATGAAATTAACATGATTTATGGATTTATCAATGTAACTCGGGTTACGCCAATTATCACATTTTATGAGTTTGGTAGGGTTTTTTTGTTTTTTTTCTCTTTTTAAATTGAATTTTATTTTTTAAAAGTTTGTTGGTTTTTTCTCATGTGGTTAAAAAAATAATTTTAGAGAAAAATTATTTTATTAGACCTTATAAAGTAACAAAAATTAAAAGATATGAGGAAATCATTGTTCATCAAATACTCATTGCACTATGGAGTATAATAGTTTGTAGTCCACAATGTTTTGCTTCCTCTCTTTTTTATGATTTTTTTTCAAATATGTCTTGGTAGATTTTATCTTTAAAAAATTAGGATTATTAAAAATTTAGATTTGTAATTTGCTTCTTTTTATTTTTTTTTCTTTATATGAAGTTAGTTTGGTTTACGAATTTGTCAAGATAACTCAGATACTCCGATTTATGAGTTTTGCGGGTTGTTTTTTTAATTAAACTTAACCATTTTTATTGTTTATTTTTTATCATATAGTTAAAAAAATAGTTTTACATAAAAAATCATGTTATTAAATTTTATAAAGTAATAAAAATTGAAGAGTGTGAGGAAACCATTATTCACCTACACATTTTGAAGTGTGGTGACAATAGTAATTTACTGTATTTTGTTTTTTTATTTTTTCTTAATTTTATTTTTGTTAATTTTATCTTTTAATATTATGATAGTTAAAAATTTAGTTTTGTAATTTATTTTATTATTATTATTTTACATTTCTATAAGCATAGCATGGTTTGCATGTTTGTTAAAGTAACCCAGGTTGCCCTAATTTACAAGTTTAGCAGGGTGTTTTTTTTTTTCAATTCAACTTAACTATTTTATCATCTATTTTTTTCTTATATGGTTAAAAAAAATAGTTTAAGAGAAAAGTTATGTTATTAAACTTTATAAAATTCATGTATTTCTTCATAGGTTTAATTAGTTGACTTGGTTCACGGGTCTGACAAGTTTAACTTTTTTTAAATTAGTTTATTTTTTATTTCATCATTAGATATTAGGTTAAATAAGAATTTAGATTCATAATTGATTTCCTTTTGCTTTTTATGGGGTTATTACAATTTTTAAAAAATATCTCAGTATTGGGTTGGTATTTAATGTCACAATTATCTATTTTTGTTATCATATAGTTAAATAATCAATAGTTTTTTTTTAATATAATCTCAATGGAGTCTGATATAACCATATTATTCGATAGTTTTACCCACATCTACGCAATGTTTTGTTCATTTTTTATATGTGAAATGCCTTGATATTCTTTATTTTATGTTTTGAAAGCACTTTTAGATGAAAGATGCAAAAAGGAGTAAATTGGAGATAATTGGTAAATTTAACTTTCAGTCGATATTTTGTGTAGAGCGTGAGCTCTAGAGGTCAAAATGAAGTGATTCCAGTGGCATTAAAAAGCTAACATCCATACCTTTTTGTACATCTAAGGCAAGAAAATAAAATGAAGAAGAGCATGAAAATCGCAGCTTTCAAATTCAAATATCGCAATCTGCCAGTGTTGACCTTCGGCCATTCAAACTTGAATATCTGGAGCTACAGAAGTCCAATTGATGCAAACTCAATTTATTTGGATTCCTGACTTAATTTTATATAAACGCTCCAAATTTCATCCAAAAATGATGTCATATGATTGAGATATGATTTTTTAAACATGACAACTGAATTTTGCCAGCAAACAGGTTTCGTGAAGAAACGAGTCCAAATTACATTCAGAAGCTTCTAAACCGACATCCAAGTTTTTATATTAGCAATTTAGCTCCTCTAAGTCAGAGCTTGAAGATTTCATGCAAGGTT